TTACCTTAAGACTTATACAAATTTAAAACATTTGTTTCTAATTAATAATTGACATCAAAATTTAGAAAATTCAACTAAAAATTAAAAGAGCTGTATGTCAAATCAAATTACCTAATTTTTAATTTTTGCGGTATGTTAATTTACCTCTGCAATATGTAAAGTAATGTTTTTAATAATTACGAGAAAATTTTAATTTATTTAAGAGCAATTCACATAAATTTCAATTAAAAAATAAATTTATACCCACTAAAGTTAAAATCACTTATTTTATCGGATAAAACTTTTTAATAAATTGAAAAAATTATATCGCGGTTGTTTTTTAATTAATTTGATATTTTGCTCTATCAAATAAATTATACTGTTACTAAAAATTAAAATAAAATTAGACTTACCTTAAAAATAATCTAAATAAATAAAAGAAAAATGAAGAAAATGCAAGAGCATGAACGTTCCTGCGTTTTATATTTATTTATCAATTATCAATAAATATTACGTATTAGATACACATTAACCGACAACCTAACAATCTACTCGCTCATTTAAATCGACAGAACTCAATTAATCTCATTATTTTAATTAATTACTTAATCAATCAATCAATAATTAATTAATCTCACCCTATAACATTTAACCGGAAGAAACTCATGTAATTACCGATAAATATATCAGTAATTACATAAGACTTCCTCAATCGTGCAAAAATACAGTCTCACTCTCTCCATTCTCACAATTATTATTATTATTATTATTATTAAATGTATTTGAGGATTAGACTTTACCGATTGAATGATTAGCGTATAAATAGATATCGAGTGACGTGTGAGCAACGTTCGAAAAACTTACAAACTACTTCTTTGTAATAATTGATTTATTTATTTATTAAACCTTTCATTTATTTATTTAAATTCATCACTGGCAGCCTTTGTAAAACATCTTGTCCCTAGTGTAACTTATCTATCATCGATTAGTGATATATATTATATATATATTTTGTTTTTTATTTATTTATTTTTATTTTTAATATATTTATACACATATTTATACAAATACATTATTTTTATAAATATGTATATGCATATATAAATTTTTTTATATTAATTAATTAACTAACATTGGTTTTTTTTTTTTTTTTTTTTAATTATTTTATCTATAAATTTTCTTAGTCGGCTAAATGATTGAAAAAACCGTCCTTCGACATTGCTCCTCCTGTTGAGATTTTTTATCCACCCAAAAATCTAAATTTAATTAGTTAAACAAAAAAAAATTAAATATTTATAATATTCATTGAAATTAATAGAAAAATTATTTAAAATTAGTGTGATTAGAATATCATATATGACATATTGTCACATATGATTATATGTGATCATCACATATGATGTCATATATTGTCATACATGACACTATATATGATCATTAATAATATCAATGATCATTAATGACATTAATAGTCACATATGACATAAATGATTACATATTATCATTAATGACATCAATAATCACATATGATCACATATGATCATTAATGACATCAATGATCATATATGGTCACATATTACCAATGATATGTGACCAATGATCATATATGGTCACATAAGACATCAGTGATCAATAATGAGTGATCATATATGGTCACATATAACATCAATGACCACAAATGGTCATATATGACCAATGATCATAGATGGTAACACTGATCATATATGGTCACATAAAGCATCAATTACCACATATGGCCATATATGACCAATGATAAAATCTGGTTACATATGACCAATGATCATATATGGTAACACTGATCATATATGATCATTGATTATATATGGTCACGTATAAATCAATGATCATATATGGTCACATATAAATCAATGACCACATATGGTCACACATGACATCAATGATCACATATGACTAATGATCACACATAACATCAATGATCACATATGGTCACATTTGACATTAATGATTACACATGATCACACCTGACCATATGGACTTTTAATGATTTATGACATCATATATGATCGTATATGGCATCATACATTAGAAATTATTTTTTTTTTTTCAATTATTAATTTAAAAAAATAATATTAAGGTAACCCTAAATCTGCAAACTAAAAATTTTGGGTGATCCTCTTACGCATAATTTGTTACATATTAGATACCTACCAACAAAGATCTTACCCGCGGTAGTACAGTGAATTTCTCAATAAAACCATACAGTTTTTCACATGAGAGTAAGTATCAGTGTCATTAGTTAAATTTCTTTAGTCAAAAGGCATTTAAATGATTAGTCACGTTAACGATCGACTAAAATCACAATTGTTTTTAAAAACCTCGTCACATCGTTACAATTTATGTTTCTGTTTTTTATTTTATTTTATCATTTATTATTAGTAATAATATCTTGATGTACAGGCATAATCGCACATGATTTGTTCTTACGCAGGTAAAAATGAAAGACGCGTTATTTTAATAATTTAACTTTTATCGATTTCTTAAGTCTTGTAATTTCGTACATACGTCTTACAATAATAGTTTTAAACGCTCCCGCTCTTTTTTTACACTTCCATTTTGAATTTCCATGTCCCGCTTCTTACGACGGCCATCTTGTTGACAATTTTATCCTTAATCATTTTTCATATTCATTTTCTTTATATATAATTGCGAATTCACTGTTAAATTCGTACATATTATTATTATTTTTTTTTTTCATTTCAATTCTCTATAAAATATAACATTTTTAAAATACAAAACAGTTTTTTAAATTTGACACTCAATAATACTGTAAAAATTTTATTATAATTAAAATTCATTTATTTTTTAAATAAATTCAAAAAAATACATTTTAATTATAATTTAAATTTTTTTAAACAAATTAAATTTTTTATAAATTAAAAAAAAATTAAATTTTTTTATTATTTTTTTTTTTTTATTATAATAATTTTTAATTATATTCAACGAGAGCATCCATTCTCACGCACACACTCACACGATTTAATATTTAATTGCATTATGCATTAATTTAAATCTCCATTTGTTAATTTATTATTTATTTATATCTCTCAAGTCTCTCTAAACGAATCATCGACAGTGAATCGCTACTTGGGTATATGCGTTATTTATATACTTAGAATAGAAATATATTAAAATTGCAAATTCATACGTTGTGTGTGTGTGTGTTTTTTTTTAATTTATTTATTTATTTATTTATTTAATGGGCCGCGAAGGCTCTTCGAGCACGCCACCGACAATCCTGCGCACTGATTTATTTTATTTTAATAATTAACATCGTTTGAACACTCTTATCCCCTCGTTATCCCGAAGAGCGAAATTAGATTTATAATTATAGGTTTTTTTTTATTTACTAAATTTTTTTTTAATTTGTTCTTTGTTAGGTAAATTTATTTTTTATTTTCAACAGTGCTTAACTGAATAAAAATTTTTTTTTTACAATTTTATAAACTGGTAATTATTTTAACAATACAAACAATAAAAATTCAGCAAACTTTTATTAAATTTAAAAATCCTTGATTTTTTGCCGGCGCCGGGAATCGAACCCGGTACTTTTAATCATCTCTTTCTTCAGTTTGTCATCAAGCTACGCTTAAACTTACACGCTGAAGACGAAACAAAGTAAATAATCACTATTTTGGCACCTTAATACTGAAATTTTTCATATTTTGCCATTGAATTATATTTAATAAATTTTACCAGTTCATAAAATTCTATAAAAAAAAGGAGCCAATAAACAAAACATATTGAAACATTAACGATAAATTTATGAAACTCTCATAGATGTCTTATACAATGATCGATCATTAATATTAGTACTCTTGATGACACTATTAAATTCACTGATAAACAACGCGATAACAAGCCAAGAAGAAACAGTTCAAGTAAACATTTGAAACTTTTTAAAAATACAGACCAACAATATTGACATTCAATATGAAAACGAGCGGGTGTAGAATTACGTAATAAAATCCGACGGTTCTATCCGCCATTTTGTTTAATTAATTACTCAGAAACGTATTTTATTCTCTCTGAAGATTTTAAACTTTTAATATATTAATATGTATTTTTTTAAAATAGGGCAGTGTCGTGGACGGTTACGGAGAGCATCCGTATCCCAAAATGTTTCCTACAAGTACATACTATTTAATAATAATTAATTAATTTAATAATAATAATTAGTAGTTCCCGAGGGGGCTAAACAAGCCTCAATATTTTTCATTATTTTCTTTTATGAAAAATTTGAGAAGAAAATGTCTAATTTAATCTCAAAAGTTACATATTTGAGCACTTTTTTTAAATTATTTTAGAACTTAGTGATGAAATATAGAAGAAAAAAAGTTCCGTGGCGGAACTTGGAACTAAAACTTGGAACTTGTTTGGCGCCCTCTGGATCTACATATTCAACAACCGTCATTAGATCTAAGGTTTACAAGTATCGTTATTTAAGATGTATTAGTCCTTTTTTGCGTAAGAACGTTATTATCAGATAAATAAAAAACAATGGTATTATTATTAATTATGATCATTATCATTTTCATTGCTGGTACGGTAAATTATTTTTTGTCATAATTTCCTTACAAAAAATTGTGTTAACCTTTGCAGTACTTAACATAAAACGTTAGTGTTAACACAAAATCCACAATTTTTTAACCTATTTTCCCCTTGTTGAATTTAAATAATTTTCTAAACGTTTTTCCCAAATCAACCTAAAATACCCAAAAGAACTGTAACCTTTATACTAAATAAAACAATGATAATCAAAACCCTATAAACGACAAAAAAGTCTATAAAAATGATCCAAAAAATAATTTACCGTCCCTGAAAATAGAAACAAAGTCAGTCGTGACCAAATAGTTCCGTACCGACTCATCGAATTACAATTACCATTATAATTACAATATTACACTAATAATAAATACGATAAATCGATAAAAAAGGTATGAAATTGCGAAAAAAACGACGGTATACCTAAAAAAAGATTATTAAAGACGATCTTCCTCCTCTTCCTCATTGTCTTCATTATTCTCCTCGCTCTCCTCTTTATACCCCGGATGCTCGCTGATCGCATAATAATTCCCATTGTAAATAACCCCCAACTCCCTGAGAACATCCCCCCTAATAATGGCTTTAATGGTCCAATTGTAGCACTCCTCGCTCTCGCTCTCCCTATCCAGCCTTTCAACATCCAGAATCTTGGAACTGAGTCTCTCCAAGATGATCCCAATATCCTTAATACTAAGATGGTGCTTCTGATCAACGGTCAGCTGGTCAATAAGCAGAAGAAACTTCTCAGAAGTGACAATCTCGTCCTCCATAATCGTGTTCTCAGTTTCTGACTCTGAGCTATCATGCTCCTGATGGTTGTTGTGGTGCATGTGGAAGCCAGAATTCCTGGGAGAGTCTTCCTCAGCGGTGTCCCTGAACCTGACATGGCCCTTGACCATCCCGGTCCTGCGAGTTCCGTCAGAGAGCGAGGAAGGAGGCTGAGGAGACGGAGTCTGGGTCTGAGTCTGCTGTTGGTGCTGGTCCCGTTGGACCGCATGCTGGTCCTGGATGGGTGAGGTAGCAACTGACTTGTGGACCGCAATTCTCCGGCCTTCCTCATGAAGCGCACAGCAGTGGAAGTCGCACTCGCTCGTGTTGTTCCCGTCGGTTCCATTTACTGGGCTTCCATTTCTGGTTACCGGTTGGTGGATCCGGTTGGAGCACTCGGGAGTGTGGATGTGGATGGTGGAGCTGCTCTCGAAGGAATTGGTGCCTTGCTTGACCAGCCGGCCGGTCATTCCGGAGTGAGAGTGGGCGCCAGCAGCCCCTGGAGCAGTTCCGTAAGAGCTCGGGCTGGTGAAGCTCTTCTGGACCATGTCGTCATGGTTTATCACAGTGATTTGGGGGCTGGCGTACCTTGGTGGCACCAACTCAGGGTGGCCCTTGTCGTACCCCAGCTTGTCGAGGCTGGTCTGGATCACCAACGACGGTCGCTGGTTAGGGCCGCCTAGATCCGCCTTCTTGGTTGGCGAGTACTTGGAACTAGATGGGTCTGTTGATTTGGCCTGTTGACCACCACCTGGTTGCTGCGTTCCTTGGCTACCCGATCCTGACCGCTGGTCCCAATGGAGCACCACCGTGACCCGGCCCTTGTTGTCCATGATCTTCCACGAGGGCGTTTCATCGTGTAGCTCCAGCGCGTGGATAGTTTCGCAAACTATTTTTGGAATTGCTGAGATAGCTGTGGATAAAGACAAATAGTGGTTTTTAGCTAGGTTTTTTTTTTTATTCCTTGTGTCGTTCATCAGACCATTAGATTTTATGTCTTGGTAACAGGGTGCCAGTGTAGTAGCTGTACCTGCGCGGATGATGTCGACTCCTGTTGGACACCACCGCTCCCCATGCCGCAGCAACAGCAGGATTGTGTTGTTTGCTAGGGTCTTCAGGTATTCCCCGTCCTCCACCTGGGTCCCGTCTGATTCTAACACCAATGAGACATTTTCGTTTGGTGGCACGCCCAATTTTTCTTTTCCTAAGGATAAGCAAAATTTGTTAATTATAGGTTTTTTAGATAGGGATTCTTTTCAAGTTTTGATTTGGGAAAATTCCATTTTTTTAAAAGACATATAGGGCATTCCATGCGAAATGGGAAATATATGAACAATAATGTTTTTGAAATAATATAAAAGTCTTTTTAATAAACAAATTGATGGAATTCCAGAGTCAAATGTCCCATTAGTCACTATGGAATACCCCATATACAGTTTTCGACAAAAAACAAACTATAAAAATACGACTCAAAAACTGTTTTTCCAGAAATTTTCTCGTTTGCAAACCAACAATTAATAATAAAATAATTACCTCGATGTAACAGCTCCTCAAAGTTGCTTACGACTAGACCCTTCCGTACGTTACGCCAGCTGTCCCATATCTTGAAAGGTCTCTTGTTCCGTAACTCCTGCGCAAAAATAAGCCTTGATATAGTATATAATAATACCTCAATGCCATTGGTTGGAAAAAAGCCTCATAAAAATAACAAACAAAGTGCATAAAAAGCTGCTCTTGGAATAATCGAGGTTGGTAACTTTCAGATAATCGCTGGTATGCTAAATAGAGTATAGTCTCTGTACCGGGTCAGAGGAGGATTAATTTACTCTTTATCCACAACACTATAATGTCCCTATCTCCTATCGGATTCTCCTGACCACGAGACGAGCATGAGACTCTGTTTATTTATAAATTTATAAATAATCTACCATAACTGGGTTGCTCTATGTACTACAGCCTAGCGTGGAAGAATTGCTCGGTCAAATGCCTAATGCCAATTTATTTAAAATCCAGCTTTCCAGCTGTCCAGCTGGTTCTCTGAAGAATTACCACAATTGCCAGCCAATTTGGAAATTTGAACCTCGCCCAGGTTCATCAATTGGTTCTAAAGCTCAAAAGACTTGAAAACGCTATAGAAGATGCAAAAAGTGCAGAATTGTCCAAAAAATGGCGAAGAAAGTGTTGATAATGATGATCAGGAAAATATTAGCGCAATAGGTCATTGGACGTTAAGAAAAAAAAAAAATGCGGGCGATGCGACGAAGGGGAGGAGCCCCTGAAGGATCGTAGTTGGGGTGGCATGAAGTAGGATTAGGACGAAATAATGTTTGGGTCGTTCCGCGTTTTCAACAGGGTGGCGCTAGACCAGTTGGGCGCAGACGCAAGCGGCACTTATGGTCGACAACACTGACCTGATTCAATCATTCTTTGAGGAAGGTTGTATTCGTTGAATCCCAAACTGATAAATAGGAAATAAGGACACGGAGATTTGGACGTTAATCTGGATAATGTCGATGTTAGTATGAATAGACTACTCTATAAGCCAGAAACTGATGACTAAAATAACCCAAAGAACAAAGGTTGTCTCGGTAAATTAAAAACGAGCTCGACAAAAACCATTCTTTGAATAAACACTGAGGTCGCGATCGTTAAATGTGAAGGACGTATCGATTTTGAAGATGCAGACGCCAGACGTTAAGTTATAGCTCACTAAGCTACCCAATTCCGGATCAAAAGTTTCTTAATTCCGCCGTTCTTCATTTGGGATTAGGCTTTGCCTTCTGATATAAGGTTCAACATCTAAAACCCAAGAAAAAAGAGACGGATAAATGGAAAAAGGGTCAGAAGGAGGAGGCCGTCCCCAATATCCTAGGCCACCCACAATTGCCCCGCTCCCTTACCTTCAATCAGGGAACTCGAATGGCCGTGTCACGGGGTCATCTACCAGCCGAGGGAAAACTGGGTCACGGATTATATTTCGGCCAGGAGGTGTTGGTCCACAATCTAACAATATAAACTAAACGTTTTGATCACTTAGATAGTGTATTGTTGAATTGGCTGATCACAAATTTGATTAGATTAGCATAAGGACCATTATCAAGCAATGATTATCACCACTCATAACTTTACCTCTCTTGCCATTACGTCATATCCCAGCAGGTCTTGGGACCGTCCCACTTGGCACTTGTTAAAAAGTGAATTTGGCACTTGGCATTATTGGTTCCCGAGCCAATGAACGGCTCCCGGTCACCAAAACCATAAAGCAGGATGGAAGATCATCAGTTGGATTAGATTCCTTTTGGATGTTGGATGTTGGATGTTGGATTAGCACCTAGCTAGTCACTTGGTTAATTGTTGAAGAGGCGCACCTTGGTCCATATAAACGTTGGCCTCCTATGCGACACCCCAACCACCACCACCACCACCAGCACCAGCACCACCAGTAGCTACCACCAGCCAGCACTACGACCTGGCTCCGTCGACGGACGCGCGTCGTCTGCGCGGCCGTTCGACGCCAGCACCACTGACGGTTAACCCCGACGGGAACGCCACCACGAGGGTTTCAGGAACCAGCCCGAGGAACCGACGCCCCAATGGTCAAGAGACAACTTATAGAGGCACACCCTGCTCTGCCAAGCTGCTAAGTTACTCTGCCAAGGTGGTCTTCATTTCCAATTCACGGATTGTTCACTGCACTGATGGACACTTTGCTGATGAACCAAAGGAAGAATCACCAATCCTGGATGATAAAACTGGAGGTATTAATAAAGATTTATTTAAATTTAATAATTATTTTTTATATTGAATTTTTATGGGGTGAAATGAAATTTCTATGTACCGAAAAATTCAATTTGAATAATTGATTAATTTTTTGTTATTCAGAAAAATTTGAAATTCGCGCATTATTTCAACGAGTTACCTTAAAATTACAAATGGCTGACTTGTTACCGCTTGGAAAGTTTTATTGAGTTTTACACAAAGAATTTTTAATAAATATTATTTGAGTAATATTTTTCAAGTACAATGACAATGAATTAAGCTTATAAACCTAATTACTTAAGATTTTAATTGAATTTAAAGTGTAAATAACAATTATAAACTTGTTGATTCAAAATGGCCGACTTACTACGAAATTTTTTAATGTTTTGATTTTAACCTATTACAGAATAAATTTTAATAATAATTAAATGAAAAAATAAATTATTTTAAAGTCTGTAATAGTGAAAATAAACTTTTAACATTTTTATTAACACTCACTAAAAAAATTAGTCAATTCGAAATGGCTGACGCTAAAAGTAACAACCATTGATGTAAATATGAATCGCGCTTAAAAATGGCCGACTTGCTACCACTTGGCATTACTTTTTAATTGTCCCGTGAAAGATTTACATTGAAAAATGTCACAATAATTTTTTTAACGCTCAATAAAAGTGAATTAACATAAAAATACCCTATTCAACTCGTTTCGTTTAAACAAAAAGCCATTAAAAAAGCCTGAGACTGTGTTTATAAATTGTGAGGTTAGATAGAGCGGTATTAAAATCAGATAAAAGCAAACTTAATACTTAAAACGCGCCAGGAATTGAATTTAAATGAACGAAAGCATAAAATGGGAACAATACAACACTCCTTTAAAATTCAAATCGACAAAATAAAAAGCATCAACGTATTACCTCGATAATATCGGAGGTATAAAGCTCACAAAGATACAACTTTTAATTTACTTTGATCAATAATAATTTTCTTTAATCAATATTTTTTTTCCTAAATAATAACGTAAATAAATCCAAAAAATTGATAAAAGTAGGTCAATGTCAAACCGATGACTATAATTAAATAAAATTTGTGAGCGTGTTATAAAAGGCAAAACCAATGTAATTAGTTGAGTTTTGTTTAATAATTGAAGACGAGAGAAAGAGTAACTGCGGCCGAGGGGCGGAAGAAGGTGGAAGGTGTTGAGGAGACAGAAGTGGAGCCAGAGACCTCACCAGACTAGAGGCTAGAGTCTGTGGAGAGAAGCACGCCTAGTTGTTTGACTTTGTCCACCGCTAATCAGTTTGGCCTTGTATGCTTTACTTACTCGGTGCAGCATGAATACACCCACCGGCAGGCAACCACCAGGGGGCACTCTCTCTCTCTACCTCACCCCTATTTCACCCTTTCCACCCCCTTTATGTTTATATATCTATATTATGGCCAGCGGAAACTACGTTTGTACGCTAAACATGATTACCGCTAAGTTTTACTGAAGACTTTTATAGTTGGGTCAATTCTTTATTTTCTGTTACTTATTCTTTGATATTATATCAAACTGTTGTACTTTAATGATTTTATTTTTTATGAGTAATCACAATACTTTTTTTTTTAATCTATTATAAATTAATAGATTAAAAAGACTGCCATGACTTGTGAACTATAAATAAATAAAATTTTAATTTATTAAATAATGACTTTGGTTAAATAGTACTTTCTTAAATATTGACGTTTTTAACGATATAAGCTCATCCCGATGTTACACTCATCAGGAGCTTTCATTTGAGTACCCACATGCATTTTTGATATATTTTTCATATATACATATATATAATATATATATATAAATATATAAAATATATGAAAAATTGATGTGGGTACTCAAATGAAAGGTCTCGATGAGTGTAACATCGGGACGAGCTTATATCTTTAAAAATGTCAATAATTCACAAAATACAATGTCATTTCTTAATTACTGACATTTTTTAGTCTATTAAAATTACTAATAATTTTTAGAATTTTTTTAAATAAATAAATTATAGAAAGAAAATTTTATTCGAAAAATTCCATTTTTTGAAGCAGAAAAATCTTAAATGCATTTTTTAAAATAACTTTTTGGCTTTGTTTATTTTTAAAATCAAGAACTAATAATACATTAAAAAAATAGCTAATTTTTTTTAGACTTCACTTAAACTTCCTTTAGAAGTTATATCCTGAAACGCATTAAAGTTATATTACAAAACTAAAAATCTAAGATTTGCATCTTTAAAATGAGAAAACTTGAAACTAAGTACTGAAATTGGAGACTTAAACTTCAAACAATTTATTTTATCTAAAAACAAAGCACTACATATTGATAAAACAAATTTCAGATCTAACCTCCACTTTCACTAAATTGTCGTAAAATTAATCACATGATATTAAAATAGAAATAAATTAATAAATGCAGGATTACCACATAAGTGATTAAATTTATCTATCGGGTGAAAAAAAAAAAAGAAATTTACTTTTTCTCTGAAAAGCCATGGAATGGCCGAGTGTATCAGGTGGATAATCCAGGGTCTCGAGAGTACAATCGTGAGGATTTTAAGCCTCTTGCCTCATCGTCGTCACTCTAAGTAAATCCTCATCTTTTATTCATTAACAAACTATTCATTGATAAGATTTGGGACATGACCTCAAGGGGTTATACGCACTTAGAATTTTAAAAAAATCTATTTTTATTTTTTTTTTTTATATTGATATATATTTAACAATCATAATATGCACTAAAAATTTCAATGAAAAATAAATAAATATTTATTTTTGATTATTAAAATAAAATTAATTAAGGTAAAAGCCCCAATTATTGACGATTTGATTTTTTTTAAGCAATCAAATATCAACATTGTTGAATTTTGTTTGTGGTAATATCTCAAATAATGTTTATACTAATCAAATTTTTTAAAATGATAATCATTGATATTTACTAATTAATTTTAAATAATTAAATAGATTATTCGGATACACCAATTATTGGCAGGTTAAAAAACTGATTGATCTAATTATTGACATACCTTCACCCCAATTATTGACACCTATACTAAGCATGCCTACAATCATCTGCTTATTCTTATTTATCCAAACTTATTATTAAGTAATCAATTTTATTAAAGTTTATTAATAATAATTTCCATAAATGATTAATTACTTTTAAAAATATAAAAATTTATTTAAAAATAATTTATTTAATCAGAAGAGTTCAAACTCTTACAGTTAATTTTTTAGATTAAAGTCTAAAAAAGGCGTGATAGCGCTGTCGAATGGCTGTCAATATGAGATTCAACTTAAAAATTATCAACTAGTTATTGACAGCCATTATTTAAATATTATAAAGCATACAATTAATTTCGATTATTCAATTTTATAAATTTTTCATATATTGTTAATTAAAAAAAAAAAAGATGATATTATTAGATGAAGAAATGAATTTAAACTCGGCATTTAAAAAAAAATACTTTTCTAATCAAAGTTGTTAAGAAAATAAACGTTCGTAAGCTGGTTTTAACTGGTGCTAACTTATTTTTTAATAATTAATATTTAATATTAACTGACAGAACTATTTAGTTATTGACACCCATTATTTAAATATTATAAAGCATACAATTAATTTCGATTATTCAATTTTATAAATTTTTCATATATTGTTAATTAAAAAAAAAAAAGATGATATTATTAGATGAAGAAATGAATTTAAACTCGGCATTTAAAAAAAATACTTTTCTAATCAAAGTTGTTAAGAAAATAAACGTTCGTAAGCTGGTTTTAACTGGTGCTAACTTTATTTTTTAATAATTAATATTTAATATTAACTGACAGTAATTTTTTTCAATTTTTTAATTAATTAGAATTTAATAAAAATTTATATGATAGTTATTCTTATTACAGATGATTAAATATATTTAAAAATAATTTAGGGTGTCAATATTTAGACTCCTGTCCATAATTAGAGCTTTTACCTTAGTTCAAAAAAATTTTATGTAATATTTTTTAGTTTTAAAAAATTAAATTGTTTGCATAAATTTTTCTTGTCATAATTTATTTAGAAAAAAATTTAGAAATTATTATTATTATTATTATTATTATTATTATTAAATTTTTATTATTATAAAATTTTATGCTAGTAATTTTTTTTAATTGTGATAATAATTACCTTAAAAATAATTAAAAAATTATTTGTTTTTGTTGAAAAATTGTCTCACAATTTTTTTATAAAATTTTACAAAAAAATTTAATGCAAAAAATTTTCTTCCTTTTTTTTCCACTCTCCTGAGTGCATAAAACGTTAATTATAAACAACGACTGTAAATTTTGTTAATTTCAGGAGAGTGGTCCGTTTTTCCCAAGTCATATCCTACGCCAGCGTGCCAAGCTGCTATTACCAGCCC